GCCCCCCAGCTCCCGGTGACCTCAGAGCGGCCCCACAGGGTTCTCTGGCTGTGCTGACCTTCCACAAGCAGATCCCCAGGCCTCACTTCTGAGGCACTTTTTGGGTGGGTTTGAACCACCAACTTCTCAGCTAGCAATTGAGTGTGAACAGCTTCCACCATCCCAGGAAATCCAGCCACCACAAAACACGCGCCTCTTTAACACCCCTTTTTATCAAGCACGAAGCAATCCTGTTCTACACCTTCCGCTTCTTCACTTAATGATAGGAAATAATTCTATTGTGTGTGAGTCTGCGAGACGTCGGGGTCTGATAACTCAGAATAAACTACACTGCATTTCAATAGGCAGCTAGCGACTCCCTTTGTTTGCTACAGACGGAACCGCAGTGGCGAACCATGCCCACACCTCATAGCCCATGTCTGAGTGTGTCTTTGGAGAAATAGAGCTAAAGTCACAAAATGATGGGAACAAACGTACACGTGTGCTTGACACAATGGATGGACGGATTGTGATAAGAGTTGTACGGGCCCCCAATAAAATGATAAAAAAAATAATTTCAAAAATAGAATTAAAAAAGCAAAACAAGACACACACACCCCAACTCGTTTCTGTCCGGTCGGTTCGACTCCTAACGACCCTATAGGACAGAGGAAATAGAGCAGGGTTTCCAGGCCTGCTGCGGGGTTCAAGCCGCCGACCTTTCTTTGGGCAGCTGAGCGCAAGTATTGTGTACCCGGGATTTGAGTTTGGCTCATACGGACTCTCCGACAGATGTGCCCCCATCTGGTTTCCAAGACTAGGCCTATCGGCCCAGTGGCGGAAACATCGGGCTGCTCACTGAAGGCTCCGACAGCGTCTCAAGCCCAACCACTGCTCTGTGGGAGAAACGGGGTGTCTGCACTATTGGGAGGTGGGGTGAATTTGAAATGTGTCACGGAAGCAAATTGCCAGGTCTTTTCTAATGTGGATTGTCTGGAGGTTTCAACCGCTGACCTCTGTCCAAGGCGAGAGCAGCGGAGTGTTCCTGTAGTGCCTTTGCATGCTACTGCCACTGTTGGAGGTCAGTTTGGTGACTAATCCCCCCCACCCCCACCCCCGCCCAGCATCCAGGGTGACTCAGCTCTGGCTTTTTGACTGACCGTGGCTTGGGCCACGTGGCCAGTTCTCCTGTTTGGCCGGCTGACCTTGGATGAAGCTGACCCACCCCAGAGTTCCCTGTTCTGGCTGCGCTGGAGCGGGAGGAATGTGGTCTGGGAGGCAGAGAACTGGGGCCTGCTACAGTTCTTGTGTGAGGGGGCTTGGGAACCACGATTTGGAGGCGGCAGAGGCCCGAGAGAGAATACCCAGAGCTGAAAGTGGGTTTTTGTGTGTTTTTGAAAGCGCCAATCACTCCCAAGGGACGGGACGAGCCCATTTCTTGATGGAAGTGGGGGGGCAGAGGGGGGTGGCTGTGATGGTCCAACTCCTCCCTCTGGAGGATCCCGGAAGCTGTCCCTTCCCCCACTGCCTTGTCTGCCAGTTCTAGTGGTCAGGAGGGTGGAGCAAAGCGGATGGCCCAGGGACTGGGGGGACCCAGGACAAAACTGCATGTGCAACCGGATCCGTGTGCCCGTTGGGGGCAGAGAACAGCTTTGTTACCGACGAACACGTGGGGCTTCTTCACTCTTGCACCAGCCGGGCACTACCTATATAAATCCAGTTGTGGACAAGGCCCGCGAGGTCCCTGCCCCCTGAAGTTCCTAGTCTGGGCAGGGGTGGGCGCATGAAGGGCCTCCAGCCAAATCCATCTAGCCCTTTGTTTCCGTAAATAAATTTTCATTGGACTAACTAGTTGCTGACCGGGAAGAGAGTGCATGCTAATAAAACCTCTTGAGCTCAGTTTC